CCCCAAAACCCCAAAACCCCTTAATCATAGATTATTGAAGTAATGAAATTAACATTATAATTGTATCAAATTTTATTTTTTAAAAACGGTCATTAGATGATTTCTCTCATGTTAGACTCTTATTACTTTTGACTTAAGCACTCTTATTTAACAGACCAAATGTGAACAATAGTTAAGGTTGTCTGAATGGTAATATAGCCAGGGAACTAGGAGTAAAAAGAATTATTAGCTTTTTTATCAGCTGCATGCACTCCGTTAAGGCAGTATCCATTGTATAGATTTACAGCAGCAACAATCGAATTCATTGAGCCAACTATATTTACCCAGTCAAGTTGATTAAGATAGTCTTAATTGCTTTGAGCATCTCCTGAAGTAGCTGCCACAAAAACATACTAGCTTCTGAAGGCATCGTTTATAATAAAGCAGGATTTACAGTCATAATAATTGCCTGAGCCTTTTTCAGTCATATCATTATTATCTAAAGACTTTACAATCCACTAGTAGTCCTGGTAATATGTGGTCAAATTTGAAATGATCTGTTAAAACATATCATCTCTTGATAAATTATTCTATGCAATTAACAAGGCATTGACTACTAATTTTGCATTTTCAAGGTAGTTAGCTTACACTTGCTTGTCAATTTACTTAACTCTTTGAAGAGCAGTATCGAATTACTAGCCATACTAGTTCTAAACTATCTACCATTGACTTGGGTCTGATGACTTGATGATTCTATATGCACTTTGAACTGATATTGCCATTGACATCAATGTAATAAGATAAGCATTACTGGAGGTTATCAAATCTCTGTATCCTAAGATGCTGACACCATTTTATTAGTAATTATTCAAAGAGAACATCAGGTCGCAAGGAGTATTATCACTTGTGCTTCCAATCATGCCATTAACCAGCTAAATTAGTGCTTGTTCACAAGCTCTATTGTCACAAGGCTAGGTCACATTTGAAGCCAAGGTTAAAACATCGACCCCCGAATCAATTCCCTTTTTAGCTCTAGTATATTTGTAGAGTGATCTGAACTAGTTGATGATTAGCGAGGACGATTGGCTAAAATTATCAGAGCATTATTGATTTTATTAACCTAGGATACTTTTAATCACATTTTGATAGTCTCTTAATATGAAAACCGTCTTATCCACGTTGTTCATACTATAGAACTAAGTTCTGTCGTCTACTTATTCTGGGAATACTGAAGCCACACCTGTTGCTGCAATGTAGCTTTTAATACTTTCAAAAATCTACAAAATCATATTATAATTCAGGTATCCATACCTTTAGTTAAGCCATCACGTCATCAGATCTTTTAGGGAACATTTCGTAAGAAAAGGGAATGTGATTGGTCAAATTTGCTAGTTCAAACCAGGCTTTAATCCCTTTAGCTTGTACATCTGGTAAGTCTTTGTATTAAACTGCCCTTAGTTCGAAGATTAATAAGCAGGAAATAAGCAAGATCAAATTCTTCAATGCCATTATTTCAGAAATTTTTATAATTATTATAAGTAATTAATATCTGGATTCTTGATATCTATGCTGATGGGGTTTTGGGGTTTTGGGG